AAAAAAAAAAAAAGAAGAAGAAAAATAAAATAACTATAACATACATAAAGAGTAGAGAATAAAGGGACCTATATGGCAGTAAGGTTCTACATTGAACTTGAAGTCATAAAATATAAATTCTAGGTAGATAGTAAAAACTTATGCCAGGCACGGTGGCTCACGCCTGTAATCCCAGCACTTTGGGAGGCCAAAGCAGATGGAGAGGTCAGGAGTTCAAGACCAGCCTGGTCAACATAGTGAAACCCTTCCTGTCTCTACTAAAAATACAAAAATTAGCCAGGTGTAGTAGAGGGTGCCTGTAATCCCAGCTACTTGGGAGGCTGAGACAAGAGAATCGCTTGAACCCGGGAGGTGGAGGTTGCAGTGACCCAGGTTGCACCACTACATTCTAGCCTGGGCAACAGAGTGAGACTCCATCTCAAAAAAAAAAACCTTGATATGTATTTTGTAGTCACTAAAGCAACTACAAACAAAACTAAACAAAGAGAAAATAGTAAAAACCACAGTAGAAAGAGACATCACAGAAAATAGAGTCGCAAGTATCAAGGATCTACTGTTCCTTAAAAACAATCATTAAACTGGAAAAAGACTATCAGAATAATTTATTTTAGAACTTTGGAACCTGATCAGATACTTATAGCAGCCAGGAGAGTGCCTCATGAAGGCAGAGGCTGCTAAAATTTGGTTCAGACAGCAGCGTGTGAGCCCACTACCATCTACCACTCCTCAGTCCTGCGGCGGTCATAAAGACCACAGCTTGTCTTCCTGGAACAGCTGGTTAGTACCAAGGTGGGCAGTAAGAACTTTGCCCTCCAAAAATCTGAGGTTGTCCATTCTGGCTGGTGTTGGTGATTCCCTGAGGGACCAGCACAGATGCCTGCCTTTCTTTGACCTGCTCTGGCAGATTTAAAGAGACAGAGATCCATTTCTTTTTTTGACACAGACATATAAAGAAATATGTCATGTCACTGGCTTGGGTTATTTGTTTCCTTATTGTTGAGTTTTGAGGGTTCTTCATATATTGTAGATAAAAAACCTTTCTTAGATATGTGATTTGTAAATATTTTCTCCCAGACCGTAGCTTGCTTTTCTCTTGACTGTGTATGTGTGGTAAAGTTCTTAGTGTTGATGAATTTTTTCTTTTACAGATCATGATTCTGGGGTCATTTCTAGGAACTCTTTACCTAACCCCAGCCCATGAAGATTTTCTCCTGTTTTCTTCTATAAGTACTATAGCTTTAAATTTTATCTATACATACGTGACTCAATTTAAGTTAATTTTTGTAAAGGTGTCAGGTCACTTGAGGTTCAGTTTTTGTTTTTGTTTTTGCGAAAGTCTTGCTCTGTGTTCCAGGCTGGAGTGCAGTGGTACGATCTCAGTTCATTGCAAGCTCTGTCTCCTGGGTTGAAGTGATTCTCCTGCCTCGCCTCCTGAGTAGCTGGGATTACAGGCATGCACATCCACACTCAGCTAATTTTTCTATTTTTAGTAGAGATGGGGTTTCGCCATGTTGGCCAGGCTGTTCTTGAACTCCTGACCTCACCCACCTTGGTCTCCCAAAGTGCTAGGATTACAGGCATGGTCCATCTTACCTGGCCTGAGGTTCAGTTTTCTTGTATATGGCTGACCAGTTTTTTTCATTACCATTTGTTAGAAAACGATCCTTTTTCCATTTGCACCTTTGTCAAAGATCAAATGGCCATAGTAGTGTGGTCTTATGTCTGCATTCTATATTCCATTCCACTGATTTATGTGTGTACCTTTTTGTCACTCTCACACTGTCTACATTATTGAAACTTCACAGTACATTTAAAAATCAGATAGCTGAACACTCCAACTTTGTTCTTGTTAAAAAATTATTTTGCTATTCTTTCCTTTTTTTTTTTTTTGAGACAAAGTCTCACCCTGTTGCCCAGGCTGGAGTACAGTGGATTGATCTCGGCGCACTGCAACCTCTGTCTCCCGGGTTCAAGCAATTCTCCTGCCTCAGCTTCCCGAGTAGCTGGGACTACAGGCACGTGCCCCTGCACCTGGCTAAATCTTTGTATTTTAGTAGAGACTCCTGAGCCCAATGATCCACCCACCTCGGCTTCCCAAAGTGTCGGAATTACAGGCATAAGCCACCGAGCCTGGCATAGTCTACTTTTTGTCCATCCATCTAAATTTTAAAATTGATTCATCTATATCTACAAAAAATCCTGCTGAGATTTTGACTGCAGGTGAGTTAAACCTATAAATTAATTACAGGAAAAGTTATAGCTTTACTACATTAACCCTTCCAATCAATGAACATGGTATGTGTTACCACTTATTTAGATCTATGATTTCTCTTTCTTTTCGTTTCTTCTCTCTCTGTCTCCCCCCCTCCTCTCCCTCCCTCCTCTCTCTCTGTTCATCCCTTCCTCCCTCTCTCCCTCCCTCTCTCTCAATCTCTTTTTTTTTTGAGACAGTCTCACTCTGTCACCCAGGCTG